AAATCCTAGAAGACAATAAGGTTCCTGAGCGAAAAGTGGAAGCCGGACGTCAGCAGGGAGCTGGAAGCCATATCAAGTGGTACCCAGTCCAGCCTGCGGAGAGATACAGCGGGACGTAGGGAAGTGTAACGAGGAGCGAAATATCTGAGCAGGGGAAGAACTCGACCGTCATCGTTTTACCCAAGGTCTGTTTGAAATTCAGATCTCGACTTGACGGAAGAGGGAACTCAAAGATCAAGCCAAGCACCCACACAAAAAACCGCGAATAGTTGCGTAGCAGCTACGTCGATGTCAGAGGTAGATCTTTGGATGATGTCGGGGATAAACACGTCGACTCGTGGCTCATACGACCGATCTCGAACTTCCCATCGTCGGTGAGGCCATCGATGATGGTGTTAGAGCATTGGCCAAGTCGGAGGACACCGAGTGCTAAGAGACCGAAGGCCATTACTTCTCGAACTGGTCAACCAAAGAGGGTATGATAAGTATCCACAAATTCCAATGCAGCGCGCTTCAGGTTGAGCAATAGTCTATGGCGACGACAATCAACCTTCAGTATTACTCAGCTAAGACGCGGAATTAAATGGTGATACACACTCGAATTTTGCAAACTGCACTGCAGCATCTTATGCAATACCTGCACGATGAACTTATGAGAGCGATTGCCAGCAGAGAGGCTGCGGCTGCTGATGCCGCGTGAGCGACACGAGCTTGAAGCTGAACAACAGTCCACGGGTGAAAAGTCTGGTGGGTTGCGCTGTGGACGGCTAGAATCGCGCGTATCTATGCTGTATCTGTGAGCGGACCGAGTTGTCAGTTCAACAGACATATGAGGTACTAGAAAGGATACCAGAGTGTGAGAGCCACTTTATATGACCTAAGGAGCTTTTCGTGCCAGAGGAGTCTTGGCCACCTTGACCAAGACGATTAGGAAAGACCAGGAATGAGTCGGGGCCTTCCATCAGTGGCCCTTGGATCCAGTCCTGGCGGCGGAGCGATAGACGACTCTTGCACGTAGTACTTCACTGGCCACTGGTCAGGGTTTCCAAAACCAAAAACCAAAAATTATGGCAATGAGTGCATTAAGAGGGAATCGAACCCCCGGCGGGTCGAATTCGCGCGAATGGCAACGACCCAGGTTACCACTACCCCATTAATGCTTGATGTAGAACGGCTCATCCAGGTCCATGTTGATACTTACGATAAAGGATCTGTATCGAGCAGGCCTCCGTCGTCGAGGAGAAAACGAAATCAAGGAAGCATGTGCCAATCAAGTCTGCCTCACCATTCGAACTAGAGAACTGTGGCACCTCCGTCGTTCGCTGGGCTCATGGCAGATGGTGGAGTCGGAGTTCAATTACCACGTGCGCAGTCCGAAGTCCGACAGCTGCCGCATTCCTTCTCCTGACGAGATCTGTCTATATTCGCTCCAACTTCTACGAGATTCAATTTCGCCCCTCCAACGTCAATTAGTGGCCCGTAATACGACCAAGGCTTACGCTTATGAAACCTATCTACTTAATGGACATCGGTGTTGAACAGCCTTGGAAGTTGGAACCGGACTCACGATTGGCGTAGAAAGCCTTGTTGGTTGATATCACCTACTGTACCGTCTGTACGCTTCACTTCATTTGTTACACTATCTAACATTGACATGACTAGTGTATTCAGTGGCACGTCGATCTGTCACGGCTGATACGCTCATTCTAATCTAGACATCGGTAAGGCTCCCAAGCCTATTCAATTGTCTCCCGAGAGAAAGTAGCGAATCGTGTTCCATGCGAAAGGTGGAGTACTCCTTCCCGCTCTTGGTATCACTCAAAAGGTAAACAGCCATATCCTTATGCACACGTCTTTCGTTCACATCATGTTTAGGCTAAACGACGTCACCCGTCCTCGCTAGCTTCATTCCGTGTGCACCAGTGACATATATAAGGCACTCTACGCTGAAGCACATGAAGATTCCCTTGGGGAAGCAAGCTCGTCAGTTTGCCAACCGCATTTATCTGAAGAGCAGATGTATAAAATGCCTCCTCCCTGCGATTGAACCGAGCATCAAACATCCTCTTCTACCATGCGCTCTTCCCTCGCTGTTCTCCTTACTGTCGCCCTCTCTGCATTCGCGGCGCCTGCCGGCGACGTCACTATCCAGGCTTGCTCTTCCGTCACAGTATACTTTGCACGCGGCACCAGCGAACCTGGATTGATCGGAAACCGTGTCGGGCCTCAATTCCAGGACGCCCTCAGAAGCGCTCTGGGCAGCAAGTCACTCGAATTCGTTGGGATCGATTATCCCGCCACCGTAGCTGGCTTCCTCGCCGGTGGTGATGCCGGCGGCGCCACGACTATGGCCAACAGCGTGACGGCGAAAGCCAACTCCTGCCCCAGCACAAAGATCGTCATTTCCGGGTACAGGTGCGAGCGTCTTTCAAATATTTTCTTCCACAAGTTCTCATTTTTTTCGCGTACAGTCAGGGCGCTCAGGTCGCGCATCTAGCTGCTGGAAAGTTGACGGCCGCCATCCAGAACCGCGTCAACGCTGCGGTGGTCTTCGGTGACCCCAAGAACGGGCAGGCGTTCGCAGGTGTTATCTCTGGCCGTTCAAAAACCTTCTGCCATGCGGGTGACTTCATCTGCACGGGTGGAGTGCTTGTCACTGCCGCACATACCAACTACGATCAAGTTCGTGTTCTCAGCCTTGATTTACATGTCGTGTAGCTGACCTACTGCTTAGGACGTTGGAGCGGCAGCCGCCTTTGTTGCACCTCGTGTTTGATATGCTTGCTACTTTGAAAAAGCCGCAGAGTATTGAATGCAAATCTTTTCGAGTCGCTGCTGATATCTTAAGGATGAAAGAAGTACTCACACTGCAATCGATAGTCGGGTGGAAGTCCTTGCGGCAGGCAAAGCCAAAACGATCATAATCTGGTCGTTCACCACCAGTTGACTCGAAGTAGTCCTTAAGTTGGCTAAGCTTGGCATAATCACCCTCGTTCGGCGTCCACAAAGCACGGTGCTTTTCAGAGTCTGGTTGAAGCTGAGTGTCGTCTTCGTATGGAGCCCAGCGAGTGAGGAAAATGAGCGCTTTGACATCTTCGATGAGCTCAGGTTTATCATCGTCTTGTTCTACTTTATACATCACTAATAGTAAACGTTCAATGTAATGCATAAGCATGGGAGCTAAGTTGCGAGTTGCATACCTTTGAGCTTCGGTGCTATATCCGGGTTGGGTAGAAGACTTCGCATTAGGGCGTATGGTAGCAGGTAGGCACCCCAGATATATTCGGGGTTTGTTCGTCAGAGGGTGTATGGTGGAGAACGAAGGCCTTGAAATCTTCCCAAGACAGTGTGAAGCCGCTGTATGCAGCAAAATGTTTTGAGTCCATGACGTGTACTGGTTAGGAATTTACTACGTGAAGATAGGTGAAGTTGAAATTCAACATGAGCGCCAAGTTTAGCGGTCACGTTTCAATTTCAATCGGCGGAATTCGGATTTGTTCTCCCAATCGTGTGCGCCACCAAGTTCTTTGCCCATGCTTGGTGGATTTAAGTCTAATAATTCCTTGAACAATGTAACATATACGGCGACGATTGTAAAAATTGGACCTACTGGCGTCTGTCCCTGGAATATCCCTTTTGATGTATCAGAGAGAGAAAAGGCAACGAGGATTGGGTTCAACCCGCCTCGATCATGGGGGCTTTACGAATGGCTTACGCCAACGGATGGAGCTGCGCAATTATTGCACGTCGTGATGATTAGCTTGTGCTTTGAATAGCCCTTTCATTGTACCTACCTGTGTATCTCTCTTTCAACTTTGAAGCAGCGGCGGTTTCTCGTCGCACCATACGACATATATTCCCGCCCCGGTGGCACGGTTCTGCCGAAAAGCGACGATGATCAGGATATATTTCTCACTTGAAGGCTTTGAAGCGCGGACTGGACGGAACTTATTGCGCAGTGCTTTGCGTCGTGGTTTAGACCAAAAATTCCGGTACGGGGAATCGAACCCCGAGCTGCCGCGCGACCCAAGCTGTATGTTTCATGTTCAACATGAAAGGCGGCAATGTTAGCCGTTACACCATACCGGAGACAAGGTGTACTCCTCTTGTCATAAGATATATCACCTGGCAGATCCATAGCACGTGGACGTGGCTGTGCCACGAAAAGTTTTGTTCCCTCACCGCGAACGTCGACCACGAACTCAGCGCTCATCGCCGAATCGACTGCGGCCAGCTTCAACATGGCAGAACACGATCTCTCGAAAACTATCATTCCTTACCTGGATCGCCATTTATCATTTCCTCTTCTCGCTCATCTCTCGGAGACATCGCTTTTCCCGGATGAAGAGGTTCATGCTGCCCAATATGAGTTGGCGAAGGGAACGAACATGTTTGACTACGCTGTGAATCTATTTCAGCAGATACATCCTGATGACGAGGTTCCGGCAGGTGAGTTACAGATTACTGGCTTGGGGGAAGGGCTCTAAATATCATCAGAATTTGACGAGAAGCGCAAAAATGCTGTCTCGACACACGAGCGTCTTCAGCAGGAAGCGCAGGCGGTCTTGGACGTAATTGAGAACCCAGATGTTGCGCAAGCCCTTCGACAAGACAAGAACCAAAACTTGCAGTATCTCAAGGAAAATTACAACGTGAGCAACCAGCATTTCTCATGAATGTACGCGCCTAACCGTGTTTTCAGCTTACACTCGACCAAATTACTGCACTGTATAACTTTGGCAAGTTCCAGTACTCGTACGGAAACTATAGTGGTGCCGCGGACTATCTATACCACTTCCGGGTGCTGTCTACCGATAACGATCTGAACACCTCTGCACACTGGGGCAAGCTTGCCTCGGATATCCTCACAGGACGATGGGAGATTGCTCTCGAGGAACTCAACACCCTGCGCGACGCCATTGACTCGCGATCCCCCTCCTCCATCCTCGTACCCTCCACCTCTGGCGCATCAAGTGCGCCTGAACCCGCACTCGTCCAACTGCACTCGCGCACATGGCTCGCCCACTGGTCGCTTTTCGTCTACTTCAACCACCCGCAGGGCCGCACACTCCTCCTCGAGACTTTCCTCTCTCCGACCTACCTCAACACCATCCAGACCTCCTGCCCTTGGGTTCTCCGCTACCTCGCAACCGCCGCCATCCTCTCGCGGAAATCCTCCTCGCTCCCTGCGTCTGCTTCTGCGCCTGTGTCTCCGCGCGTGCGCAATGCCATCCGTGAAGTCGTCAAGGTCATCCAGACGGAGGAGTACCAGTACCAAGATCCTGTTACGTCCTTCCTAAAGGAGCTGTACATCGAGTTCGA